ACTTAAACACACAGTTGAGGTGGAAATGGCTTTAAGATAGAGGAAGAGCCTTCATGTAACATTTTTTTAAAAGACGTAAAATAAAGTTACTTTCATTGTCTTTTGTTTTATAAGAATGTTTATTTCTACTGTTTGCAATCCTGCATATGGACATTATTGTGTTGAATGATATTTACATAGAGATTTATTGCAAGTGGATTCTATCCAAGAGAAGGAATTTTGTAAGATAGCAAGTGATTCTTTTTGACTTGGAAGAAAGATAAACATGTATGTTAATGTAGTCCAAATTAACCTCATGTGAGCAAGAGTCATTTCTGCATAGTTTTACTCTAATGTGGAATATGCCTATACATGCACCCACGTGTACACAGGCATCATTTTGGAGGGCTACATAGCTTTTCACTACAAAAAAAAAACAGGATTCAAAACTCTCTGTGCTATGACTGGTTATTTACCCTCTGAAGAGTCTTCCATCTGTTGGAATTCAGTAGTTTCTCATTAATATAGCAGGTAGAGAAACACCTGCTATTATCGAGTTGGAAAAAAAGCAGAACATGATTTGTTCTTGGATAGTGTCTGCCACAACCTGTCATGACTCCATCTATCCTAGATAAGATTCCCAGTCATTCTGCGTGTACAAATGCTATCAGGATACCCTGAATAATGACCATGATATAAATCATTTAGACACAAAACTATTTGAACCATAGATGTGGGTTTTTTTGTTTGTTTGTTTTTGTTTGTTTGTTTAATGATCACAGGTAGGGTAATTCTAAAATAAGCATGCCATGAACCAAGCAGAGATTGAGCTGGGCTAGTACAGAAAGGCTTCCGAATATTTGGGTTGAGAGATGGACAATTAAGCTAGCATTAACCTTCATCACTTTGACTTGCAGCTGCTCCAAGGTCGCTCATTTCCTTCATGCTGTGGTATGGCCAGACCTAACGAAGTATTCATTTTCACTCTGATTTTGTACTTAATTAAATGAAGCTACCAAAAAGAAACTACAGCATTTGCAGCAGTGTGTGGCAGTCTTCCAAGGTAGATGTTGCTGTGGATAATCTTTTAAATGAACAAATAAATAAAGGATGGGTGCTAGAGAGATGGCTCAGTGGTTAAGAGTACTTTCTCATGCAAAACACCTGGATTCACTTCCCAGATTCAGGTGACTTTTAAAAATTTTTTTAATTGGATATTTTATTTATTTATAATACAGATGTCATCTGCTTTCCCCATTTCCCCTCCCTAGAACCCCCATCCCATCCCCCCTCCTCTTTTGTGCTTTTATACCATTTTAATTACATGCATGTATTAAGGTCAGTTCTATGTTGAGGATCTAGCAATACAATAGATGAAAATAGTCAAGGAACAAGCAAGACAATAAACACAAATAGTCAATGAAAAAGCAAGGCATTAAACCCAATTACATGAACACTTCTGTGAGCACGTTTCTAAGGGCTTATCAGGATGACCAAAGTATCTGAGCCTACTTTCCCGTCCTAGCCCAAAGTCATTTTCATGTCTGAAGACAATTTCCTTGTTCTAGCTTAAAATTTAGATTCCTGTCTGAAATTACTTCTTTGCTGTAGCCTAAGCTTTAGATTTCTACCTGAAATTACTTCTTTGTTCTAGCCTAATGTCAGATTCCTCCATGAAGCCTTGTCCTTCCTTGTCCTTGGACCATGTCAGATTCTTGTCAAGCATTCCCAAAGGTTCTCCACCTCTCCCTCATTTTTATTTTGTTAACAAGTCTGAGCCTGTCTTAGGTAGTTCTGACAAGAATGTCTTATTTAGCTGTCATGGAATATGCATTATCAAAAGCAATGCAATTCTATCTTAGGTTGGTAAGGCACTGTGTAGAATCTTACCCGTCCTTGGCTTGCCAGCCTGTTAATTTAATAAGTCTGTCTGGGGGTCCATTTTCAGATTCAAGCCATGTACTTTGGCTGCCAACATGTTGATGTTGTTAAAGAAAAGCTTTAACACAATGGCAGGAATAAAAGTATTCCCAGGACAAAAAGGGCTAGCATGATCAAGCTATATATACCATTCTTGAAGCTTGACCAAAATAGAGATACTGACCTCAGGCCATGGGTAATTATATCAGCAGTATCTACTGCATCAATGCTCAGCAGAGCAGCATTCTTGAAATTCATAAGCTGATTATGCAAAGTTTAAACATCCAGAGAGGTGTTAGAATTATACCAAATACACTACAAGTGTCTTTAAACTTTTTTCTAATTATAATGACTACCACTGTAAATTTTAGAACTAGCATGAATCCAGTGGTATTTGGCATGACACTCAAGATGGCTTCTTGCTCTTAAGTTCTGAACCTCTTTCTAATAATTTGAATAGGAAAAAGAGCATCAATTCGTTCTTACAAATGCCTATCTAAATCCTCTTGTATATTCAACACATTAGTAATATTTTTTTGCCAAATGATTAACAAAAGTAGCTGTCTTAACTTCTTTTGTTCTTAACACTCTGTAACTCTAGGAGAGCCAGTGGCCTCCATGGGCACCAGACAGGCACATGGTATACAGACATACTTGTAGGCACAACACTCATATACATAAAATAAGTATAAATTCATCTTTTAAAAAATAAAAATAAAGAATTAAACCAAGCAGAAATATTTGCAGTTTACTGTACACGCATAGCTAGCTAAAGTCAAAGATGAGTTTAAATTTTACATTCAACTAACTCTCATTAATCTCTACACAATCACACACACTGTTTTATCATACAGAGAAGGACATCTAAGATTGCCAGGCCAAACTCTTCAAACTCTTTTGATTCATAAAGAGAAATGAGGAGCAGCCATAAAGAAGAAGCTCCCTGCCACCTGAAACTGTTCAAGCTGGTTTTCAGGACAGAGAATAGCCATGGACATAACAAAAAAATACTGAGAGATTTTGGGAACCAAAAGTCTCTGGCTGTTAATGGACTAGGATTATCCAAAAATTCCACTTGGACCTGCATACCAAGAATTGGCTGTTCCCCCACCCCCACCCCCAGGCTTTTGTGTGCATTATGATGATTCACCTCCTGCATAGGCATCTGCCTTGTAGGTTTGCTCTTCAAGTTGACAAAGAATAGTAACCATCATGATCCATTAGCCAACTTTTGCTCTCATAGAACTTTGGATCAATATGGAAGGCTGCAGTCCAGATTTCATCAGGCCTTTTCTCACTACCAGATCTGAAAAGCTGTCTTTGCCTCTTATTTGTCTTTATTTCCTGGATTTCTAGCATGGAATCTGGTACAGAGTTGGTCTTGGCAAACCCTGAGGGAGTCAGTAAGTGAGGAAGCACATGGAAAATGCCTCATGTTCACCTATGACATTCTCAAAGAATAGCAATTTAAAAAGCTCAAAGGAGTAAAATGAGAAAGAAATGTTTTGAAACCTTCTGCTGTTACTTTTTATTTTGTTTTTTATTAATCATTTTATTCATTTACATTTCAAGTGATATCCCCCTTCCCAAACCCTCCACAAATCCCTTAATCCCATCCTTCCTCTCCCCCCTCCTCTTTGCCTGTATGAGGGTGCTCCCCCATCCACTCACCCATTCCTGCCTCACTGCTGTAGCATCCCCCTATGCTGGGGCATTCAGCCTCCCACAGGACCAAGGGCCTCCTCTCCCATTGATGTCAGACAAGGTCATTCTCTGCTACACATGTATCTGGAGCCATAGCTCCCTCTTAAAGAAAAATTGCTTCTAAAAAATGATAGAGACTTGAGGCCCCAGGAAAGAGGAAGGCCTGAGATGGGAGAAACCTCTGAGGCAAGAGAAAGGGGGAATAAGACCAGGAATTGTGGGAGGAGGCACCAAGGAGGAGGCAATGACTGGAATATAAATAAATATAATAATTTTTAAAAACCTGTAGCAACAATGTTCTATTAATTAACTGTAGTTTTGTCATATTCAATTTCTTTTTTAAAAATTTTTTATTAATCGTTCCATTTGTTTACATCTCAAATGATATCCTACTTCCCAGTTACCCCTGCCACCAACCCCCCATTTCATGATATCCTACTTCCTGGTTACCCCTTTGCCACCCCCACTTCTGTCCCACATCTGCCTTCCCTCACCCTTGATTACATCTTTATATTGAAAATTACAATTTTTAAAGTATCTTCATGAAAATATCTAGATTATAAAATTCTAAGGAGCAACAAATACATAAATGAATCTAGACAATTCTTGGGACGACTACCAAGTAAATGGTATATAATTTAGCAGGTTGGTTTGATATTAGTCTCAAGCCAGGAGTAAGGATTTAAAATCCACAACAAAAGAGTTATAGGCACACTAGCCTATATTCTAAGAAAATATATATATGTATATATGCCAAGATAGTCTAAGAATTAGGCAGAGAAATATTTTATCAGCAGTTTTGAAAATTAGGCTCAGGAGTTAATACATGGGATCAAAGACTTAGCCATAGACTGTAGGGGATGGTTTAATTAGTGACTCCTGGTTTAAACAGTTTTTCTAAATATATAAAAAAAATTCTATTTATATAGAGAGAATTATTCTCTCTATATATTTTCATTATATATGTGTGTATACATTATATGTATATATAATACATGCATGATTAATGAAATTCTTATGAATTTAATCACTCAAAATAATTCTACACTTTTGCATGAACATTTGGAAACCACGTATCTTCTCATAGCAAAATATGAAGTGACCTACATCTAATAAAATCAAACCACAAGTGTCATCCTCCTGTAGAGTACAAATTCTGCCGCCATCCTCCTGTAGGCCACAAGGTGTCATGACATTTGAAAATAACGCCTGATGAAGTGGGATAATCTAGAATTTAAATTTTAAATTGGATTTGAAGCCTTAATATTGGTCTAGAATCCCTGAGAAGAAAAATTACAGCATATTCTACATGCACTCCTGGACCTCAGAGTATTAAATTTGTTTCTATCTTGTTATGATAGAGACATTGAGCATATATCCTTTCATTTATTGACTAGGAGAGAGTGTAGCTGCCACAGTCCGCCACTACCACTAATAGGAGCTGAGATTCTTCCATTTGAGGAAAGCACAGGAATCTACACATCAGAAATGCAAGGGATGGGCCCCACCCTGACAAAACCACTTTGGTCATCATGGAGTCTCATCTGTTTTGTATGTGTATACTTCAAATTGTGAATACAGATGCATTTTTCAGATTAGTGATATTCCAGAAATATGCAGATACAGATATACTGTGTAAGTCTGAAAGTGAAGTCTTTTATAAAAATTGTTTTGAAAACTGTAAAACATATTTCAATTAAAAGTGAGGGAAAAATGAACCAATTGGTGGTGTGGGACAAATGTCTGCCTGCTTATATGCATTCACTTAACTAAATTTAATAATTTTTCCAGATAAGTTATGAATGTAATAGAAAAACTATCATAGCAAATAAAAATTTATGGGGAATGACATTCAAAGACATGCAAAGGAAATTCATAATTTGATTTCAGACATTTGCTTCTATTGTTTTTGAGTAGCTGTTTACTTTATGTAAGAATACTTTTATGATATAAAAGTTACTATTAACTATAAGTATAAAACATATTTTCACATATATAATTTTAAGTGTTACCTAAAATGTTCAGTTGTTTTCCATGAGTATTTCAGCTTTCCCATTTGTATAAATTTGACTGTGGATTTTAATATTAATTAATAAATTAAAGAAAAATTGTATGGAATCTGTATTTTGCAGGAAAAGTTTGCTATTATTTTGTTTTATAAAGCATGCAAAAATATGCAATGCACAAAAATAATTGTATTTGAAATATATATTCAGATTATAAAAAGTAAAACAACTCTCTTCTTAAATATTAACCTCTTATTGCCATGCATATTTTCTCTAGATTCTTTGTCATCTCGGGGTGGGGACTTCTTTTTGATTTCTTGGGAAGGCTAAAGAACAAGCTCCAAGCTAAGTAAAATGAAAGTGTGGAGATAATGGGAAACAGCTTTGTCCTCTTGAACCTTTGTCTAATGAACCTTCGCAGAGCAAAGGGGAGACACAATGGTGACAGTGTTTCACTCTTCCTCAGTTTCTTCGTGAGAAAATACAGGTGATACGATGTCTGCTTCACCTCAAGTACAGAACCCAGTGACATCACTGCATGCATGTTGTTGTGAAGCCGTCATCAGTCTCTATTGCTGAAAATTCTTCATCATTTCCAGCACAAGTTCCCTCACCCACATACTGATATGATTTCATTTCCTACTCTTTGGCTCCTGGGACACCTGGAGTGACCTTGCATCTCTATGAATTTTTTCTTAGGATCTGTAGCTGCATCTCAGAGTTGCAGAACTTGCTTGGCCTATATGAAGACCAACACTGGATAACCAATGATGGAAAAGCAGGCAAGAGAAAGGAGGGGTAAGGGGAAAGGAGGGGAGGGGTAGGAGTGGAGGAGGGGGGAAGTGAAGGAAAGGGGGAGAGGGACTGACATTTTGCTTATTTTCCTATAGAATTTTTATTTAAGTAGACTGATACAGTGATATTTTTTAAAGTTATACATTTCATATATGTGAGTGCACTGCCACTGTCTTCAGACACAATAGACGGGGGTATGGGATTCCATTACAGATGACTGTGAGTTATAATGTGGTTGCTGGGAATTAAACTCAGGACCACTGGAAGAGCAGTCAGTGCTCATAGCCACTGACCCATCTCTCCAGCAGATACAGTGATTTTTCTTCTTTGTATGAGGCTCATATCCCCAAGTTATTTTTTTCTCTGTTCATCTTTCAATGCACACACCAGGATTTTATTCTTTTTAAGGCATGGTAATATTCTACTGTATGTGAGTAACACATTTTACTTTCCTACTCACCTTTTGATAGGCACCGGGGTCATTTTCACTTTGTTGCTCTTTTGTGAATAACAATGTAATCAATGCTGGCCTTGGAGTGTGCAAGCATCCAAGTGAATCCCTGCTTTCTGCTCTCTTGAGTCTCCACCTAGATAGATAGCAGAGGTCCTGAGTTACATGGTGTTTCTGTTAGCCTTTGAAGGACCTCCTCAAATGGTTCCCATCTGTTTGATTTTACATTCTTACCATCAATCCAGTTCTCTTTTCCCTGACATTTCTAACTTTTGTTACTTTCCCATTATTGTCTTGTCTCAAATTAACTATCTAGGTCTATGTGAAGCTCACCACACTGAAGTCTTCTCCTGCATTTCCCTTGGTAACTTATGGCACAGGTTACTCACATGTTAATAAGACATCCCTGTATCTTCTTTGGAGAAATGTCTATTCAAATCCTTTGGGGTTTTTTTTTTTTTGACCTTTTCATGATAAGTTATTCATCCTTTATAGATTCTGGATATTAATCTTATCAAGGACAAATATTCAAATGTTTCCACCATTCTATAAGTTGCCATCACCTCCTGAATAATACAATCTGATTACAAAGTCAAATAAATTGTCAGTTTATTAGCATCATTTTCCAGGATCATATTTATAAATATTACCCTCCTTTTAAATGAACATGTCTCTCCAGTTTCTTTGAACAGCTTTTTATAATGTTGATGCCAAAGAGTGAGAGTAGAAAGATCAGAAGCAATCCATAGCCCCTGCTGCCAAGTAGCAGAAAATCTCTGAAAGGCATAGACCCTTAGATAATTTTTTTAACACAGGAGGTGATAAGCAATGCAGATGTTGTCGTGCAGTTGTCTGCAGCAAACAACATGTAACCATCAAACTTGGGCATCATATTCGGGCAGGAATACGTGTGGAAAGTTGAAATGAATAAATATAAATCTTGCTGTGCAATAGCTCATTAAATAAGGTCAGACTCACCAAACCTTGACCTTGAGGTATTCTAGTTTGTTGAATGTAAGATTGGGTTACTAATTTCTATTCTAACCTTGTATTGAATAAGATAACAGATGTGAAAACATTTTGGGATTTTAAAGGTGCTATGCAAATTGAAAGTCTATTATTATTATGTGTTCTTGTGCATCGATTACTTGGTATCATAATAGGTAGTAATAACCATTAAGAGCATCATTAGAAATGCAGGCATGTGTGTAAGTTTAAGTTCATACACTGTCTCTGTGTACACAGAGCACCTGTATATTCTGGTCCATTAGTGTTTGCATTTTGCTTTCCAAATAAGCTACAGATTTCTTATCTATTATACCTTATTACATTTCTGGGCCTCTTTCTCCACATCCTCCTTAACTACTGGAAGGTTCATCCATTTCCATTGCAAGTGGTGTAAAAGATTCATGCTGGAATTGTTCTGGTTGAGTTTGAGTGGTCCTCGTTTAGAACTGGGCCCTCAGGCCTCAACAGCCTTTAATCAGCTGTAACTGGAGTGAAGCTGTCAGCTCCCGCTTGTTCTATGTCAGCTTTAGTGCCATTTAGAGCGTCCCTGATAAATGGACAGCACACATTTAACAGTCAACCTGTGAAAAAGGAAAACCAGACATCTCTCAAGCACTGTAGGAAACCCTTTAGCCATGTCATGGAGACACGGTGGATAGATATCCCAGGATAGGTAGAGTAGGGGTTGAAGAAACAGAAATACATATATTTGAAAATAACATTAGATTGGTATCTAAGGACTTTTCTAAAATGGAGCAGAATGTAGCAAAAAGAAAATCAAAAGACATGGTTGAGAATAGTAGATCCAAAGAAAGGATGGCATGTGATAGAAGGCTCCCTTCATTTGTACCTTAAGTTGCAAGAGGAAAAAAAATTCCCATGCCATACTCTCCAGTCATTTGCAAAGTTAGAAGTCCAAGCCTAGCAGGAAGAAACTCGTGTTGATAAATTGAGCATCCCAAGGTGCTCTTATCCATTCCTCATCAACATGAAACCAAGAGAACTTAAACACAAAATTGTGTTTCTGAACCTCAGCTTTCTCATCAAAGAAATGGGGATAAAAATTCAATCTCATTGCATTTTTTTAGAGTAAGAAAAGAAGCCATGCGTACCACATGTAAGACGTTCTGTGAAAGTACACAGAGTCAGTGGTATAGGAAATAATTTGGTAGTGTCCTGGAAGGCTAACCAGAAATCTAAAAAGAGGTGATTCATTTTTCTAAGGACACTAGTTATGCTACACATGGATTTTGGTGAGCGGCTTGAAGAAAATATTCTTTACACACACATATACCCTTCCGGAATGGCCAAGTTCAGTCAGGCACATCTCTATCTCAGTTAAGCTCAATCTGTTATCTAGCTGGTTACTCCTTAGGATGAGAAGAGTGAATATTTTTAAATCTTTAAGGCTAAATCTTTTCTAAAAATATGTTTTATGGGATACAATTTACATGAAATAAATTTTCTAATGTCAAATGAGTTAGCTTAACAGATGCAGCGCCACACTCTTTCTCTCCAATAAAGAGTTGCAATGTATTTTAGCTGACCTCCAGGAAGCTCAACAGTAAAAGCATCCACATAACCATGTTAGGGATGTTCCCCATCCTAAAGCGTGTATGTGCAAACCCTGAGATATGCCACATTTGTGGTAGAAGTGGTCAGGTGAAATTCAACATCATTTCAACCCTGGCTTTTCACTCAATCTCTGTGTGACCTTAGAGATTGCTAGACAGCTGTTTCCACTTCAATGTCCATAAGTACAGAGAACCCTAGTGTTTTCAAAGATCTCGTCTTAATGTGATACGAGTATTTCAGTTAGCAGGAAACCTTAATATGACAAATAACATTGTTGTTGTTGTAAATCCTACACTTTACTAAATTGTGGTTAATTATGAGTACTTCCCTTTGTCTGTTCCTCCTCTTTTCTTTCTTAAATCTTCTTCTGCTTTCCTTGTCTCTCTTCTTTCCCATCTGTTACATACTTCTCTTAGGAAAGAATGTCACCCACCTTGTTCACTAGCATCAAGAAGTGGACTAGACCCACGGTAATACACTGGTGAAAAGGGATGATGGCAGTGAATGCAGCAGGGCACTTTCTTTCAGGGGAGTGTGTGTGTGTGTGATTATTTTATTAGATAGCTAAGAATTTCATACCATGAGTTTTCCCTATATTCGTCATCTTCTGTCAAAGTCTATTTTTAATGATGGTTCTTAAATGCTTTAACCTCCCTTTTAGCTCACCACCCACCAGAGGTAGTGGGTGGGAAAGAAAGGATATGGGAGGGTGGGGGGAAGTGAG